GCCATATGAAGCCTTGAGGCGCGGAATGACATCCACAAACATTTCTTCGATAACGTTCTGCCGTCTCATGTACCACTCATAGCTTAAAACGAAACGTCAAGATAGAGAGGCCATAAACCAATTGCAAAATACAAATAAATAGGCTCCAAGAGAAATTTTTTGTCAATAAGCTGTGAAAAAGATTACTTTGTGTCTGCAGCTACGATTGAAATTGCACAGGTAACACTCTTGCCGTCTTCAGCGCGCTTGACAGGGAAGAGATACGAACCAATTAAAAGCCTTCTCTTTGGAACTATATTCACTTTATGCATTAAATTTACTGACGGTAACTGTAAGCTGAAAGATGCTATACTATTAGACAAAGAATTTCTTTAAAATTTGCTTTTGGACAACCACTGTGCATATCTCCCAACTAAAGAATTAAATGGGTTTAAAAAAAGACTAAGGACCTGTAAACTTGGTCGGTTAGAACAAGTTTCGCAATAAATTCTTCATCGGTCAGCGGGATAGACGTACTTTCTCCCGACATTTCCATAAGGGTATCGTAGTCAACACTGTCATTAAAAGCAAAAGAATTTTTCTCATACTCATGATAACCCTCGTCTATCTGAAAGAGGTAATACTTGATGATCAAATATATGAAGAAATAAAAGAACGTTATCTGACAGCCATTAACGTAAAGACAGAATGTCAAAGATTTATATTTTCTACAAAGTAATAAATATTACTCTATTAGGACCTCCAGCTACATCATTTACAAAAGTTCCGAAGTCAATGCTACGTTGAATCAAACCGCTGTCTATAGATGGCGATGTGCAGAAAGCACTTAAATCACTATGAGCAGAAACAGTCCCTGCTATTCCAGAATCAACGGCAGATGTAGTAAGTGCTGTAGATGATTAAAAAATCATTCAAGTGAAAACTTTAAAGAACTAGTTAACAACTAACGCTAGAAGAAAGTAATTCACTTAACGCGAGCAATAATTAACTTATAGAAAGATACGCGATAAAAGCTATTAACAAAAAAAAGTTACCAACGCTACACCGACAAAACTGACCCTGAAGATCACCATCCATAGTAACCCCACCGTGTAATGTCGCAATATCATTATTTTCATCGCAGCAAGGAATGTTCAGTACACGATTTGTGTCAGTATCACAACTGTCAAGTAGGCGAGAGTCGATTAAAGTTGCGTCAGACCCAGGCTCAGAGATTGCAGTATGACCGCATCCCCTTTTTGACTCAACGAAATCCGTGTTTTCAAAAACATCTTCAGAACAATCCTCCACAGTTCTTGTCGTTAATGGGTCCAAACCGTAGTCTAACGGCTAAAGAAAACTCTTCTATCAAAAACTTCAAGAAAGCTATTTTACACGACAAGCCAGTTATACAATTAAGGTAGAAAAAAAAAATAAGCACACGAAAAAAAATAACAGAACTAGAAACCAATTCAGACCTGAGCCATGAAAATAACTCATGAGATGAAATATTAACACAATAAGCAAAAATACCTCCGGTATGACATTTCTGTAAAGGCTAGATGCCATCTCATCTGCCCTGTCTTCTAACCTCCCATGCGAGGATACACTACCGGAAAGCTGAAAATTTCAGTTGCTTTAAATAACCTTTACGAAATTACCAGCCCGCCTCAAAAACAGAATCACAGTATCCTCCTCACGTTATAGATTTGCTGTGAACAAATATCATTGAGCTTAATAACTACACTCTTACTCTAACAGTACAACATACCTTTTGTTTAGGAGAGTATTTACACGCTTTCGTATCTTCTGATCTACACATTTCTTCACTTTGAGAATCCTCCTCCGTAAACTGAGAAGATGACGCGAAGCTAGTCTGATAAATATTGAAAAGATAAAAGACAATAATAGAGTATGAAGAAAACATTTTTCACTTAAAGAAGGCCCCCGTTAAAGGAAAAACTGCAATATGAATCTGGTTTTTAACTCCAATTTTAACATACCATCAGGCGCGACAAGTCTTCGTCATCATCTGTCATAGTAGTTGTTCCAGCGAGGGTGGATCGACTTTCTGTCATCAGCTCATCGAGATATTGAGGTTTCTCGGGATCGGCAATCTAAGAAATTATCCGAAAAACTAACAAATGTTCTATAAAAGCCATAATCCTATAAAAGCAATCAAACCAAAATGCAAAATTACCACTTTAACTTAATCGGAAGTCAAAAGTAAACAAGGTATTCTGCTTTAGCTAGATCCCTTAAAATACTTCATCTAACTAGGGATCGCCAACGAATATTGGTGAACAACGATAGAGAAGTTCAAAAATAAACTTCCCATGAGCTGACTCTGACAGCGACCAAGTTTGAAAGAAAAAAGCAGTATTGTTAAAGAAAATGTCGCACCAAATTTGCTTCCAAATGCAGAATATTATTGGAGAAAATAGCAAAACTGTAATTTTAATCGGGAAAGAAATAGAGAGCATAAATTCTGAGACACCTACATTAAGCAAGAAATAAGGATAAGAACACCTACGGAAAAATAAAAACCTAAAACACTATAACTGTAGAAAAAACAACCTGTAAAACATCGTCTATTTCTTCATAAGCAACGCTGTTAGTGTCCCTTGATAACGACGACGTGGTACTAAGTGACCCGTCTTTTGTGCTTTCAGAATTTGTGCTCAAAGCTACAGGAGTTAAGTTCGTGGACGCTACAACTTCCCATACGAAGCGCAGTTCAGGTCCCGTTATATGGTCAAAAGAAGACCACACGATTTTGTGGACTGGAGAAGGATCACAAAGCGTTAGCTGAATGGTCCGAGAAGCTTCCTAAAAACAGCTTTAATTTGGTTTATTCCAAGTTATAACGAAGTTCTCTGAACGATACAAATTTAAAAAAATAAATAATGGCAGAACTGATGAAATCTCAGCTACGGAACGTATACCTGCTATGCAGCTAAGAATAAAACCTTTATTTCTTAAATAGTGCATTAATGAATCAGACACTTGACTTAACTCAAACAAAAAAAAACAATTTAAAATAACGGAAGACAAATAAAACTGAGGATGAAAACGCTAGGGTTATGAAACAAAGTCAAAGCTAGGATAACTTAGCGTATTTACAGCTGACCTGTAAAGCCTCGTAACCACTGAAGAAGACATCAGCTTCCATACGCCTTAATAACGGGAAACTGCAATGCGAATCCTCAAGTGAACTTCAAATTAAAACATCTTTCTTTCTTGTCCTACGCCCAGCCTTAATATGTTACAATGCTCACGACCGATTGCTGACCTGAAACTGGTAGTGTCCACGAGACAAAGAGCGTAACTATACAAAAGCAAAAATGTATTATGAAGAAACTTAAACTTGTAAATCAAGACGTGAATCTTTACATTAAAAGTACAAATACAAGTCTTTTTTTCCTCCTCCTTCATCCACAATCTTTTACCAAAAAAAAAAAAAAACTGGACAGCGACGAAAAAAAAAACT